GTTTCATTTAAAAGAAATCAATTTTTGATTCAGTTTCTGCTAGATTCTTTAAAAAAATGTGAATTTATTTTAAAGGGATTATTTAAGGATTTTTCTTCTTTTTTTTTTCTCTTTCCAACAATATTCTCTTAATTCCAGATTATACTGAATTTATTAAGCAAGTAATAGAAACTGTCTGAAAAAAAATACAATATTTTGAAATTATTTATAATTCCTTAGCTTTTCAAGCAATGTATTTAAGAAACAAAACAAAACGAAATTCCAAAGGAGTTAAATTGCTTAAATAAAAAAGAATATATTAAAAAGAATGATGCATTTTTTATTCGAGTCATTCAATAAAATTAAAATAGAATCATGAACATCGAACTTAAAGAACTGTTTAAACAAAATTTTCAAATATTTTCTAAAGAATGCACTTATGGAAAGACGAATGAGCAGATTTTTAAGAAAATTCTCGTTATTACTAGTTTAGTAATAAAACTAAAGAACTAATAAAAACGTAACTAGCAATTCTTTAGATTGTTTAATAATTGTTTACCATAATAATTGTTTACTACACTAAAAAAAATCTCGTTCGTTTTATAGAATTTATTTTTAGTTATAGTAGTAGGTTAGTTTCTTAGTAGTTTGGTTTATAACTTTGTAAAAAAAATTTTCTCTTTTTTTTTCAGCACTACCAGATTTCTCCTTTTTTCATCATAATCATAAACAGATTTAAATTATCAATTTAAATTCGAGCTTTTGAAACGCTGTTTTGCTTAGCAAACGGTAACTTTGCCTTTTTTCCGATCATTTTACGATTCATTTCTTTACTTGCTCTTTTTTTTCAGCAATTATTTTATGGCTTCCAACGTATGTAAAATTACCATTCGACTTTATTATTAAATTGATACGCTCTTTCATTATATTATTTTTTAGACATAGACTTTTGGTATGTTTTGCCAAACATTTTTATACTGGTTGACTTCTATAGTTTTTAAACGTTTTTACACTTAAATAATATTTCAACAAGTAAGACCTTGAAAATATAACTGTTTAGCCCCATAACGATCCGTTAATTTCAAGAAAACGGTCAGAAAAGTGCCTATTTTTTTGGCTTTTGTATTAGTATTACTTATTTGATTAGTGCTGACATCTAGTTTAAAATAAACTAACTATCTACGATTACCTTAAACATATCCTGGTACTGCCATTTGGTGTGTGAAATGAGAAAAAAAAATATTTTCCGGTCAAAAAAAGTGAATTAGTTTTATTCTTATTGGCACCTTACTACTGAACACTTAAGCTCATCAATATCACGGGAGCGAGAAATAGAGGGCGAAACCTCACCCCGTCATTTTCACGGAAGCGAGAAGGTAGGGGTTAATATTTTTCTACGAATTGAAGCATTATAGCTGCGGTAGCTCATGGGATAATGAGGTGACCCAGGTTTAATTCGCAGTGTCGAATGCTGCAACATCAAACAAATTCTGCTTTCGGATCGCGCAGATCACATTGTTGATATAGTTATTTCGCAGAATTGTTTGTTAAAATAAGAGTACATATCATCGCCTCTTATTAAATAAGAGTAATTTTCAGTGAAATAAACAGCTTTATACCTGAACAACAACTGACATTATTTTTTTCGGAATTGTAACATTTTATTTAATTTTAAAGTGTATCGTCATGTCTTTAATTACACACTATATACGAAATCTATTTACACAAACACACTTGCAAAATACTTTTTATTTACACAGTATTTGAAAGAATACAACAAACATTTATTTACACATTTTTTGAGTGATATGTATAATTTTTTAACAAAACTCATGATAAAATACTCTACAAAAGATTAAACAACATTATCTAAAGATTTCATTTCAAATTTGCACTGTTTACAAAAACCTATATTAAAATAAAATCTAGATCACACTTTACATAAACAAATATAACTGTTTTAGAGTAATTGAAATTAAATAATTCATTTTATGTATTGTTACGTAAAATGTAAAAATATTACATACTGGTTAGTATCATGACAAAGAGTAACTGCATAAGGAATGTTATAGATAATATCTAATTTTTCAGGTTAATATTTAAAGATACGATCCTTTATTCCGTATTATAATAGTATATTTGATTCAGTTTATGTATTATTTCTTCCGTATTATTAAGTTATATTTGATTAAGTTTTTTAATTTAATTTATTAAGTACTGCATATTTTCTTTTTTAAAAAATCTTTTCACTTATATATTGAGGGCATATTTATTTTATCATATTTATATTGTTACTTGAAGTATAAGAATACTACAATGTCGTGAATATCGTGATACTGGTATATATCGCAACGAAGAATAACTGCTTAAATTTTACACAGAGTATCTAATTTTAAAAATTTGCATATTTAGGTTTTTATAAAGTTTTAAATATTTTTTTTTAAATTTAATTCTGAAAATACTGCCTATTTCCTTTTTAATTTTTTTTTTCATTTATGCATTTAGGGCGTATTTATTTTGTCATATAATAATTGAATTAATATATTTTTACTTGAAATATAAGAAGATTACTTATTAGTATGTATCACGAGAAAGAGTAATTGTTTAAAAAAATTTATACCGAGTTCCTAATTTTTTAAGTTTGCATATTTGAGATTACGATACGATAATTTCTTCCGTGTTACTATAATATATTTTATTAAGTTTTTTTTTAATAATTTAAATCCAAGAAGATACTTAAAATCGTATTACTTATACTTTAAGTGCATATATATTTATAATTCAGTATACTTAAACGTAGATTAAAAAAATTAATCCGTAGTGTTTAGCTTTTTTTTTTAAACAGAGACTGAGTTAACAGAGAAGCCAATTTATGAAGTAAAATGTTTGCACCTAAGATTACATTGTTCCTAATTTTATATATAAAAAATTTTATTATTTTTTTTTTTTAATTTTTCATGTTATTGTTTTAATTGTCATATTATTGTTTTTAATTTGAAAGTGTATAATTGAAAAAATTATGAAAGATAATTATAGAAATTATTACTTAAAAAATTAAAAGCTACAATTAGTAACAAAGTAATGTTATGTATATTACAATATTCGTTTAAATAGATTAGTTTCTAAGGTAAGAGTAGTAGAAAGCATTTAAATAAAAAATTTGTTTGTTTATAGCGAACGCGAGCAACAAGGATCTCGCTTTTGCTTCCATAGAAAACCGATCTCATGAACTACAATTTTAAACGACAATCGCTAGAAAAATGAAAATTGTTCAGAATAAAATTCCAATTGAACAATTTGTCAACATTATTTCAATCTAAAATTCTTGAGTCGGGATGGGGGAGAAATCGAATCGTTTATAATTTCGAATGAAAAAAGTTAATTATTGGCTGTGTTGTACTCCCATTAGTTTAAGGTTTATTTTTCATTTGTCTTAGCAGATTACACTGAATTTTGAGATGATTACAGGACATAGTGATCCATTTAAGTACCACTGTTTATCTTTTGCCAATAATAGCAAAAGAATTTTAATGTTTGTAACTCAAGTAAGTATAGGTTGTAAAATTTTAGCAATATTGAAATAAAAATGTTATACAAAATATATAACATCTAAGTAAAGAGCGGGTAAACCACTCATATCGATACGATACTCCAAATACTATTCTATTTCATTTGATGTCTATTACCTCTATTGCTGCAAATTATTTTTGACTGCGCTCCATTCATAAGAAGTCTAGCACATATGGTGTTAAGATACAATAAAAGGCTTTGAAAAAAATTTTTTTAATTGGGTACTTTTAACTCGAAAAGAAGTAAAATGATTAAGCTTAACCAATTAAATCAGATTTAATTGGATTAACTGTAAGTGACATCACGTGTCTGGGTCCAACCTGATTGGCGTCTAAATCCACAAATGCCATGATTTGTCTGTGATGACGTCACTTGCAGGTATCCAATTGTCAACTAAAAGTGAAGTTATGAAAGCGGAAATGTATCGAGAAGTTTGGCAACAAAAATATTTTGTTCAACATTTAAATAAAAAAAACAATACTATGTCTTAAAAATAATTATGCAATTCATATTAATTTTAAAAAAATATTAACATGCAATTTATTAGCACACTTTTTTAACACAAAAATTAAAAATAAATGTTTCCTATTATTTTATGTTTTCATACTATAATGCAATCATAATAAAATGAAATTTGTATGCATAAAGATAACCCCTATTTTTAGAATAAGATTTGAAATATCTTTTATTCAGGTTATTAAGTTATTAAAATCTCTCAAATTTAGAATGTTGGAACATCTAGTTCTCTTAAATTAAAATTAATTGTTCTGTTTAGAAAAGTAAAATGCATTTAACAATAACTATATGACAATTACAGCTGCTATTATGAGGTTGGGTTTTTAATATGAAGTCAAGTTTTAATTTAAGAAGAATGAGCGGTTTGCGATATAAAAAATTTTGTATGCTTGTTTTTAAATTAAATGCTGGCATTAACAAAAATCATTTTGGGAAATATATACTTAATAAATTATTAAACATATGATAGTAAGCCGCATTTATTATAAACAATAAATAACGCTAGTTAAAATAGATTTTTTTTAAAAAATGCTAGTTGTAGCAATTAGTTGCTTATAATAATAGTTTTCCATTGCTGTAGTTAATACTTTATTGAAATAAACGTGTTCACTATTCCATTGCTTAACTTTCTGTAAAGTCATAATTTCTTAAACAGTATTTTTTCCTCATATTAATATAATTATTTTAATTAATAATTAATTAATTTTGAAAATTGATCTTTGTTAGTAAAGTAAATTTCATACAAATCGATTTAGATAGTTTTAGTTAAGTGAGCACAGTTGCATAATGAAACCAAACCAGCATTTGAATAACAATTTAGAGAAGATTATAAATGCATTTTTTAAAATTTTGTAATGATCATTCAGGATAGATAAAATGATTTGAAAAAATCAAGTACACATATAAAAAGTTAAAAAAAATACAAGAACATGAAAGTAATTTTTCGTTAATAATGATGAATAATATTTATATATTATTTTTAATTTTTAATAGTGGTTGGTATAGTGATAGACATTTAAGTACATCGATGGAATTGCAAAAAGATGAATAGTTAGACTCTTAGAGAGTTCAAAAAATTGGAAGCATTTTAAAATAACAACTAGATGAAATATCACTTGACATTGATCAAAGAGCATGATTGTGAACAGCCTTGAAAAAATTTGAACTGTTTCAGTTGAGCAATAAGCAAACAACTAATTCAGAAATGTGTATGATTTGATGATCCATACAATTAAAGTTGTTAAGTAGAAAAAGCTTCCTGCTTGAATACACGTAGATAAAGAAGACAGCTCGTGAGGTGCACCTGAAAAAAAATAATTATGAAATTACATCCCGTAATGATTTTTCCAAAGAAAAGTCAATACTGAAAATCCAATTTTTCGTAAGTAAAACTAACTCTACTGTTTTGGAAGTGGTAGAACATATTGCTGCAAGCATTTCTCTGTGCAAAAGTGAATTAGGGTGAACCAACCAGTGAAGGAACACTACCCAGTAAAGGAACATTTCATAATTATTGATTAAAAATAAGAATTTGAAAGTTTTTCTTTAGATTGATTGGTAACAATACCTTACCGCCAAACAATAGGAAGTCATCTAGCATTGTTTTGGATTACCTGGTCAAATAGACTTCTCTGGAAAAATTTTTGAATTTGTTATTATCTCTGCAACACTTTGTTTCTTTGAAAAAACTATAAGGTGAGTGCTTGTATTTATATGTTTGAAGTGGAATTAATTGCATGTAATAGTTTTATTTTTCTCATTGTTAAAAAGAGAACTCAAAATATAGTTATTGAAGTAACGTTTTATTTTTTAAGCATCATACCATAATAAAGTACTGAGATAAGGGGGTGTTTATTCACTGGATCACCAAACGATGAAAAACCAGTGAAGGAACAATAAGTGTTCCTTTATTGTTTTTTTTTCTAAGTTTATGAAAATAAAAGACAAAGTTTAATTTTCTCGTACCTTTAGTGATGTTCCTCATCAAAAGTATGTTAAAAATACGAAAAATGACTCCTAACCAGTGAGGGAACAGGCATGTTCCTTTACTGGGCATAGATTTCCCAGTGAATGAACAGTATGTGTTAATATGTTGACACTTTAATTTTCAATTCATGATTACAAAAAAAAGATAACATTTTCCAAATATTTATATGTTATAATTTCAAGAATAGGTTTTTTTTAATATTCGTAGGGCTTATAAATTCATAAAGAGCATTAAAAAATAACCAAAATTAAGTGTTCATTCACTGGTAAGAGCTGTTCCTTCACTGGGTCTTCTTACTACTTGTTATTTGAACCTCCAAAACTTTAAAACAAAATTATGTAAGTTCTCTAAAAAAAATTTACATAATTTGCAATTAGTAACAAATATGTTGACACTGTCATTTAACTAAAATTATCGAATTTTGAAATTAATATTATTTTTTAAAAGGTAAGCGAAGCTTAAGTGTTCCTTCACTGGTTAGTTTACCCTACATAGTTGCAAAAATTAATCGTTAGTAAAATTGATCAATAGATATATTAAAGTTCAACTTAAAAAGATGTTTAAATTTAACACTTCATACACTGTGAAAAATTCCATATCAAATTAATAAAATGTTTCGGCATTCAGGATACGGGTACTTTTTTCCGTAAAATCCATTTTTATTGGAACATGTTTGGGGTGCAATAAAATCTGATATATCGTATTCTTACAGTAATAATTACCGTGAAATCACTGAATCACTGTAATTAAATAAGTATTATTGTAACAATTAAGGTGTTATAATTTATGTTAAAATAGATTTTATGGAGGATGCAAGGAATTTTTTACAGTGTACGTCTACTATGTTGGAGCAGTACAACATATTTTACTACTTAATATATTAGAGCAAAATTAAATCATATAGTTGTGAAAAATCATTTTTGAAATTGATCATTCGATATATTAGGGTTCAACTTTTTTAATAAAAAGATTTCAGTTTAACCTCTTACAGACAATAGAACGTTTGAGACACTGAAACATGCCTTTCCACCTGTAACACTTTTCCTGCCAAAACACTTGTTTTTTTGTTTTTATGTTTTGTTAGTCAACGTGAAGATTGTGTATTATAGAGTTTTTTTCTTTAATATATATTTTTCTATTTTTCTCAAAAATTTAGCCAAACTCCAAATGGTTTTAAAACACTTACAGTCGATAGAATCATGATGACATTTATTTATGTGAAACAATGGTACATGAAAATATAGTTGATTTTATAGTAGGACATACAAACTTTATGTACAAACAACCTTTACTTATTTATAATTCTAAGCACTACGCAAAGTCTCTAAACTATGTTTCAATAATTTTATTATTTTTTTGAAAAACTAAACTGTCTTAATCAAGTTTCTATTTATTTTGCAAAAATTCAGTATGTTTACTTTCCAGTTAGTTAGTGGCTTACAGTTATTAATAGCGTTGTTCAATTATTCAATATATTATATAAGTCTTATTCTACAAATTTAAGCAACTGGTATCCTTAGATGCACGTATGTACTGTGCTCACCAATATTTAGATATTTTTAATTATTCACATTTTATTACTTTATTTTTAATTTTGTTTTAATAAATATATTACTGTACGTAATATTTTTAAACGCAGTATTTTTTTATTAATGCTCTATATTTATATTGGAGGTGATAGAATAATTAGAAATTATTCTGCAGTTTTGGAAAAAAAAAGTTTTTTCTTCATTTTATTAAATTTGAATTTAAATATGTTTCGATGAAATCCGACAAATAAATCGAGAATAGTGTGGTTTAAATTCAAAAATAAAAAAAAATTAAACTTACCTATCCGAGGACCTTGTATTCCTTAAGGAAAGCATAGAAATAATAAATTGTCTTGAATAAAAATAGCCTTATGAATACATAAATAAAATAATTAAGAAAAAAATGCTACAAGGATAATTTTTTTTTATCTTCATTAATAATTTTTTTTAACATCTTATATACTTTAAAATAAAATATTTAAATATGTTTTTTATAAAAAAAACTTTAAAACTAAGTGTAATATAAAAGCACACTAAGTTGTTTTTCCCATTATTTAGAACTATTATTTTAAAATATTGGTAAAATCTTAATATTATTTTATTGCCAAATTATTAATTATTTTTTTCATATATTATACTTAGTTTTTTTTATTACAGTAATACAAAAAAAAATTATGCGGCTCAAAGAAAAGGAAATTTATTTTTCATGCATTCATTTATATAATATTTTTCTATACAAGCTTCAGTGTAAATTCATCAAAAAATTACAGTAGAACAGTACTGCCCGGCGGAAGTTAAAATATCTAGCTATATCGATTCAAGGTAATAAAAATTTATAAATTCTTGTTGCTTGATTTTATTTTTAAAAAAAATATTTTTTGCTGTTTGTTATTTTTCGATGTTTGAAAATAATTAAACATTTTAAATCCCTTCAACAAAGTAATATTATTTTTCCTTAAAGTGCAGAGTTCACACTAAAACAAAAAAAACGTGTATGACTCTCATATTATTAAAAAAAGTACCAAAAATTCTGAAATATTTTATTTGTAAATAAAGTATTTGCATAGTCCTTGTAGTTAAAAAATAATCACGTTCAGATTCAGTCATTACATTCAAATTGTTATTCTTTTTTTCACTTTGTATACATTGATTGTACAAATAAGAAGAAATGTATGAGTAAATACTTCATATTATCTAATCTGTATTTACACGTATGTTTACTGAAGACATTTAGAAAGAGAAATATGATGACCTTAACTTAAGAAAACTACTTCTCGAAACTTCTCGAAGGAAACTTTTTCTTTCGAAAAGACTATCTTATGGCTCACGTTCTTTCTTTGTCGTTCAATATATGTTCTGAAAATGAGGCGATGCAAAATAAATAGAAGGATTTCCTATTGAGCATTTCATTTGCGGTTAACATCCATCTGAGATGAAATAGTTTTTTTTTCCTATTGCTGTTACCTAGCAACATCTGCGAAAGCGTAAAACACAGCTTGCACCTTTTTATCCAAAACTGGTATATATCCTGGGAAATTGGAGCTTAACTCTAAACTTAAAGATAGGACAGAGCATGTTTAGCTTAAAGTCTGAAAAAGAATACTTTTAGTATTTAGGGAAGAGTTATATTTTGGTGAATGGAAATAAGTTGTAAACGATGTTAGGTATTTGTGAGAATAAATTCTGAAAGATATAATTACACGTATATATCTGTTGATGATTGACCTAAACAAAGGTGCATTTCAACCACTTAAACCGTAAATGAATGCTAGATTTACTAAGTTAACACAAAACAAAACTAAGCTAACATAAACAATAACAAAGTTTACTAAGAAAAATTACCACAAATTTGAAACTAAGTTAACTCCTAACAAAACTAAGTTATCACGAAGCAAAATTTGTAAGCCACTTGGAGAGTAAACCAATGCTTGATTAACTATCTAAGTTAACACATTACAAAACTAAGTTAACGCAACGCAAACTTTAAATCATTTGAAGAGTATAGGAACGGTTGCTAGGTTGACACAATGATTACTAGGTTGACACAAAGCAAAATGTAAACCTCTTAGTAAAGGAATGATTGATTCACTGTCTTAGTTAATGCAAAACAAAGTGCTTGTTCACACAATTTCAGGATACCCTTAACTCTAAATTTGAACAGTTAGATTTTGTTGATTATATTTGTAAGTAGCAGAGACTTAGCGCAATAATTTTTAAATTAAACATTCATTTATGTAAATTAAAAGTATATATTTAATTATTATAACAGTGCAGTATTAGTAAAACTATTTCGTAAAGCTAAACTTGTAGTATTATTTGTATAGGAATAACAATTATATATGTCATGATAAATCTATTCATCTCATTTGCCCATTTAAAGCTTCGTATGCATTGAGTAAATTTTCAACGCAAAATCTGCACACTCGCTTGGAAAGCAGACATAAATCAAATAATTTAAACTGTGCCAGCAAAACAAATATTTTTCATGTAATCTAATTCCCTTTTTTGCCAAGAAAACTACATATGCACCAATCTAGAATTGTTTTAAATTACTTTAAAAAAATGTAAAGATTGGAAATGAGGCTCGAAAAATTTCAGTCTATTTCAGTGAAAGTAAACTTTAAAAATATAAGATCAGACAAAAAAAGTTTGGAAAAAAAACTGAGCTATCCTCAACTGAAAATTACGTATTAGAGTTATTAGTTTAACAGAAAAATAAGTGTGCTTAGCTTTCCCTAAATTCATTTAGGTAAATAATAATAACTGATGATGATAATTTAAATTTTAAATTAAATTATCATCATCAGTAAGTTATCGATAGTGTTTTAAATTTTAAAGCACTATTTTTTATATATTCGTTATAGTATAACCAATGCAAGTTTGTAAAAATAAACTTTAAAACAAAACGAAGAGGAAGGAAAGTGCGTATTTTTCCTAAAAATGGAAAGTGGTGATATAGTAGAGCTAAAACTTTATTATTTTTTTTAAATAATCACGATATAATTACAAAATTATGGATCATTCAAAATTATCACGATATAATAACAAAATGGTTTTGGCATCTTAACTGTGATAATGTTAATTTCCTTCACAAAATGGTTTTTAAAAATGTCCATTTTTTCAAGAGTGCTTAAAGAAATTCTGTAACTCATAAATGAAAAAACTTAAATCTGAGATGGTGTTTTTTAATGAATTTATAATATTTTATCAAACATGAAAATTAAAATTCTAAAAATAAATATTACAGATTTTCATTACGAAAAACCCTTAATTCTGCAAGTAATGATCGATGAAAATTCATTAACTGACATATAAAATAGGGCTTAATCAAATAAAACCTAATACATATTTTTATATTTATACTGGGCATATATTTTTATATTTATATAAAATTTTAAAAAATGATGCGATTGAAGAATATTATAAGGAATTTATTAAAGCATTCAGTTTTATGAAATCCAAAGGAAACTTTCTGAAATCCTTAACACGTTAATAGACTCAATCCTTCAATTANTTGTTTTAATGCACTATTTAAAATATACATTGTGTACCCCCTAATTGACCTATAATTATTTCCTGTTGTAGGGTTCACTATTACCCTGTAATATAATACCTGGTCCAATAGGATATCCTTAACTCTAAATTTGAACAGTTAGGTTTTGTTGATTTAACTTGTATGCGGCAAAGACTTAGTGCAGCAACTTAAAATTAAACATTCATTTATGTAAATTAAAAATATTTATTTAATTATTATAACAGTATAGTATTTGTAAGACAGTTCCTTAAAGCTAAACTTATAGTATTATTTACATAGGAATAATAAATTTTCAGCGCAAAGTCTGCTCACTTGCTTGGAAAGGAAGCATAAATCAATTAATTTAAACTGTGCCATAAAAACAAATATTTTTCATGTAATCTAATTCTCTTTTTTCCCAAGAAAACTACATACGCGCCAATCTAGAATTGTTTTCAATTATTTGAAAAAAAATTAGAGATTGGAAATGAGGCTCGAAAAATTTCAATCTATTTCAGTGAATATAAATTTTAAAAATATAAGACCAGACAAAAAAAGTTTGGAAAGAGAACTGAGCTATCCTCAACTGAAAATTACGCATTAGAGTTAGTAGTTAAAACAAAGAAATAAGTGTGCTTAGCTTTCCCTAAATTCATTTAGGTAAATAATAATAACTGATGATAATTTAAAACACTACTTTTTTATATGCTCGTTATAGTTTTTACCAAATCAGGTTTGTAAATGCAAACTCTAAAACAAAACGAAGAAGGAAAGTGAATATTTTTCCTCAAAACGGAAAGTGGTTATATAGTAGAGCTAAAACTTCATTTTTTTAAAAACAATAACGACATAATTACAAAATTATGAAAAACAAAATGGTTTTGACATCTTAACTGTGATAATGATAATTTCTTTCACAAAATGGTTTTTAAAAATTTCAATTTTTTCAAGAGTGCTTAAAGAAATTCTGCAACTCATAAATGAAAAAACTTAAAGCTGAGACGATTTTAAGTGTTTTTTAATGAATTTATAATATTTTATCAAACATGAAAATTAAAATTCTAAAAATAAATATTACAGATTTTCATTACGAAAAACCCTTAATTCTGCAAGTAATGATCGATGAAAATTCATTAACTGACATATAAAATAGGGCTTAATCAAATAAAACCTAATACATATTTTTATATTTATACTGGGCATATATTTTTATATTTATATAAAATTTTAAAAAATGATGCGATTGAAGAATATTATAAGGAATTTATTAAAGCATTCAGTTTTATGAAATCCAAAGGAAACTTTCTGAAATCCTTAACACGTTAATAGACTCAATCCTTCAATTATTTACTAATGGATATTTACCTGGATAGTATGCTATACTTTTAGATTGCGCGTAATTAGTTCCTGGCAGCTCTAATTTGCACTCAAACACAGTGGCACTCTTTGAAGATAGTTCTGAAACTTTAAACGTCCTTTTCATCTGCACATCATAGGAACCAGAAGGTCTTTTGAAAGATAAATATTTAACATCTGTCACAATTTGAGGTGGGCTTCCACTGAAAGGCCTGAGATAAAGCTTTAGATTTGGAAATGGAAACACACCCAGCACTTCACAAGAAACATTCACGGTATTATAACGAGTCTCCAGGTAAGTCAGTTCAAATCCATGGGCTGGAACTGAAATGAAAAGGCAAATCTTTACAACTATTTCAAAAATTATAATTAATGTAGCATTTGACAGTTATCCTATATGATTAAACCCACTTTCAAAAGACAGTTTATTTACAATTATACGGCATATAAAGATGCATTCTCTCACCCTGTCTCTGATGTGTACTAGAAATGTTCAATAACTGTAGTGACAAAGTTCCTGGTGTCGTGACAAAGGCCACATATTTGTAGAATGTATTATACATATAGCAAGTATCTATCTTTCTATGTATCTACCGTTTCCGCATATCTGATATTGGTAAATACACATTCCTTTGAAAATGGATAGATCATTAGGCTGTACTTTTATGATTACCCAAAATACCTAATTAAACCCTGTAAATAACCGAATATCTATAATTTTTTTTCAAATTAAGGCAGCATAAATGCCTCACCAGAAGTGATTAAGTCAGCAATTTTCAGCAAATTATTCAGTATGCTAATTTAAGACTTGGTTGTTAGTTAATTAGTAAGTTAATAAGTTATTCTTAAGTTATTTCCGAAAAGCACCACTTCATTTGTCTCCCTATTAAAATAAAAACGTTGTTTCTATTGGAGAAGAATTCGAATTTTTATAAATTAGCGTGTATTTTTGTAAGGAATATTAACTGTGTAGCAAAAAAAAAAAAATGCTTTTCTCCCCCAGAATCGTTTGTGATAAAACCGAAAATCAGCTTGAAAAATCAAATCTTCTTAATTAGGAGTTAAAAGCAATTAAAAATCTCGTAAGTCGTAAACAGAGTCACGTGATAGGAAATGGAGCATCGACTGGTTCAACTTTCTTTTAGCAACATAGCTTGCTGCATTCGCTGACTCCGAGTAATTTTTACATCTCTATTCTGTTTTATACTATATTATTCCTCCATACAGATAGTTTCTTCATTCTTTACTCAAACTAATTCTACCTTAAATATAAATCCCTTTCTTAAACGTAATGAATTTTGTTTCGCGTTTACAATTTCTTTTACACAGATGTATAGGCTTATTTTTAATATCTTATTCCTCTGCAACAATTTTTTGTTCATGCATTGTTTATGAAGTTCCGGACCCATTTTGATGTTCAATATCTCATAAAATAATAAGGATGGATTAAAATTAATACCTTAAAAGGTTAGATAGACTCAAAAAGATTCATGACCCATGTCAATGAACTTCCACATGTGCCTCCTTCGTCGCACGGAAAATATCAAGTCGATAGTCAATTTCACGCCGGGTAGCGGTAAGCATGTCGGCATCCACAGAGGCTATTGCGGTTGTAATTCTGACTTTTAGGTCATCAGTGTTAGACGCGATCCTCCTGTAAGCATTGTCCTTTATAAGTCCTCAAAGAAAAAAGTCCAGCGGCGTTATATCAGGTTGGATGGCCAAGGAATTGGACCTCCTCGCCCAATCCATCTTCCTGTCTCATCAGTCGCATACTTAGACATGTTGGAAAACTTCGTATTTCCACAACTTAGAAGAACTTCAGCCGCATGTCTTTTTGAAACAAAATGGTGCGCCACCTCATTGGGGTATCATCGTTCGTAGTTCTTTGAATGACCATTTTCCAGGAAGATGGATTGGGTGAGGAGGTCCAATTCCTTTGCCATCCAAGTCACCTGATATAACGGTGGTCATTATATGATGTTTACGGAATCTCACTAGACTGTGGTGTACAACTATGGTGGTTATAGCAATCTACTACAAAGCATCCTACTGATTCTGATCAAGAATGAGCTAACGATGTCTTAAATTTGAATACACGGGTTTTTCAAATTCGGCTATTATTAATTAATAATGTTAATTAATATTATTAAAAATAATTAAACATGTAATTAAGTTTAATTACTTATTTGTTCCATCAGTAATAGGAGTTTGCTTTTTTCTTAGCTGCATATTTCTAAGTAAAGTTGCATTTTTTGTCATTAATTGAAGCCCTGCTCTCAGGAAGAAACTTTTATAAACAGGAATCTTCTCTAAGTTCTAAAGAAATCGGATTATTTTTAAAGAATTACAGCGAGCAAACTCATCTCGCCTATGAGATCCGAACAGCTGTTTTTCTGTAAAAATATGGATGGTAAATTTCAGAGTTATATAAGATTTGTATGTAAGTAACCTTCAATGCAGTTATTGTGAATTTGAAGTACTCTAAAAAAACAGTGGATGTCATGTTGTCCTGTGCTTTTAATTTGTAAATGACTAATAGGATATAGTTCTCGAGTTAAAAGAGATTAAAATTTGCAAAAATGGAAACTTTAATCCAATAACTTCAGCTTTAATATTAATTTGCTTAAGTGAAAATGCCAAATACAATAACTAGCTCCTAAATAAATTTTATTTTTAGTAAAGCTTAATATATAATGAAAAGCTAATGTTAATACATAATGAAAAGTCACTCCCTGTGTCACTCCTAATATTTTTAAAATAGTTCTGAAAATTTATCAAAACTACAGAAGATTTTTTTAATTGGAATTCTTTAATTTACTTAAGTGAATGAATACTCTTCAATCTAAAATATCTTTTTTTTTATTTTTAGAAATCACACTTTGCTTTAAACAGTATTAATCATACTTTACATCGTGCATCAATCTACCAATTTAAGTCCCCAACTGTATAAGGCAATCACTCATGACCCTTTTAATATGATACGTGCCAAGAGAACACGCCTACTTAACATACTTTTCATCTCGTTAGGTAATGTATTTTTGGGGAAAAACACGAACGCTAATAACCCTTTTACTTTTGATGGAGCACTTATATCTAAGCAGGCGCCAATATCGCCAACTGTCAGACACTAAACGTGTAGGAAATGGATTCAATCCAATTTACTTTCATCATCTAACAACGCAAATATGACTCTAATCGTGCAGAAAAATGACACGACACTGACAATTCAAAACTGCATTGGAGTGGAAAATAGACTTCATAAAACATTTTAAATATTAAAACTGACGACATGGTTAAAAAAATTGAACTTATTGAGAAATCTATAGTAACGAAAACTCTGGAAAAGAAATGCACTTAAGGAAATTGCATTCTGGGCAACTTTAGTAACCGTAATTAACAAAAATGAAATGTGTCTTTTTTTCAGTGTTTTTCACTTGCAAAATCAGTTTTTGTTGGTCACTTTAAACACATGACGTGAAATATCTTTTCTGCAAATTATGCATTTTAGTTTTCGTGCAGGAATAACAAAAAAAGTGAAAAATGAAAGAGAAAACATTATCACGTTGCTGATCATTTCTCCCTTGTTTATGTTTCATCTGCTTCAGAAATGAAACTGTTTTGAAGTAGATACGCCCTTAGTAATTTATTCATGAAAAATTGCTACCAGGGAAGAAAGAAAATGTGTGTTTCATGTTGAAAAGGGAAAGAACGAATTCGTGCACGAAACTCAATATTTCTCCTCGTTTCTGATTTTGAATTAAAGATAACTGAACATCTTACTTAGCTTGAAAGTGTCGAGAAATAAATAAATTTTTCAGAAAACCTATTTTATGTTAGTTATATAATTATGTTTTCATATTTATATGAATTCCATAATTCAATAATGAAACAACACTGAATGTGAATTAATTAAAAAAAGAGGGAAAACTATATTGAAAAAAATGATTATTTAAAAATATTTGATAGAATTTCTCTTCAAAGTAAATGAAAATGATTTCATATAAACGTTGAAAAAGTTTGTACCTTTGAAAATTTTTAATAGATTATATTTTACGGTTATGCACTGCAAAAAATTTCCGATCAAATTATGGTAAAAAGTACCGACATTCAACAAGCCCATAATCGTTTCAAAATACCATGATAAACAATATTGATAGCACGTGGGATATTTTCGTACAACTCTGTTCAATTATCTGAGATAAGAGAACAAGTCTCTCAAAAAAATAGTAAATAAAGCGTCATGCTTGGATAAATCCCGACATGACAATAGAGGCATGTCACCTTTGGAATCTTCTTTTATTCAATGACGGAATCGTTTGGGAAATAGTGTGGGTTGTGCTCTGTGCCTGCTGCCACTCATCCCTAATATCAAATTCTGACACAGAAATTTTCATGTTCGCATTTGAAAAGCATACTGTTTTATTAATTGTTGTAACCGGGATATGTGCTGCCACCTACTGCTAAATGGTGTTATTATAATACTTGAGTGGTTTCTGTACTTGGCGTAAGGATCGTTTTTGCTGTATTCGTCTTTTTTATTCATCTGTTGCAGCACCATATACAAAATTAATATCTCTGTATTTGTTTAATATAGACAACGCTTTTGACATTCAAAACTTTATTGTAAGATAATATTTCACCTTCAAAATATGCACGATCAAACTATATATGCGTATAAGATTCTTAAAAAAAAACATCTATGCCATTTTATCTGAAGCAGCGATTTTTTTCTGAATTTGCACAATATTGATGAAAAAAACTGAAAAGAAAACAAAAATAAATACGAAGCAAATGTTCATTCCAGTACCTTAACGACGACGTTAAAACATACCATGGCTTCAGTACTTTCATTAAGTAGCTTTACTTGTGAAGTATTTAATTAAGTCCTCATATAAGGGTTCATGAAAAACAATCTTCACTAATCTTTTTAATTTTAAAAAAATTCCTTTTCATTTTGTGCCACGACCCTCACAAAGGCACATTTGTAGACTAACGAAAATATTGTCTATTTTATCAAACTGATCATTAATGCTCATTTGGGATTCCTTATGTCGCTCAAGCATAAAAGTAACCAACCTTTCAGGACACCCTGCATATGCTTCTTTTTTATTTTATTTAAAATTGTAAATTTCTTATTCTTTTCAAATTGCACACATTTAACTTTTGCACATTCTTGAAAATAATACATTTTCCCCATTAACAATTAAATAATTTTATAAAAAACGAATATATTTACCATAAATGGTCATTGTTTGTTCTCTCGAATCCTGTCCTGCCAGAGATGTAACTAAACATGTGTATTTTCCACTAAGATCAGTCGAAGGTCTTTTTATTCTTAATGCTCTAAATTTCGAATAATCGTCCATTGTATTTACAGAGTAATTCAAATCTAGTCTATTCTTAAAAAATTCGGAAGTGGTCTTCAATTTTAGTTCTGGAATCCACTGATAAAATGGTTCCAAACTGTCTTCAAAAAACCATTTGACAACAAGTCTCAAATCATTTTCATTGTAAACGTAATCACAATCCATGACTATCGCGTCTCTTGTCCCATTCTGTAAGTAACGAGGAACTGAAAGTCTCCGAATTTCAGCAGCTATGCAGCCTAGAATTGAAAGAAAAAAAATGTCATATATTAATGTCTGTTGTGGCATTAATAATAATATTATACTAGAGTTGGTTCTGACAGTAAGTTAATATAGCATATCGTAACAAGAATGTTACAGTAAAGCCGGTCATGACACTAACATTATAATAAAAGTGGTCATGACACTAACGTTGCAATAGAGTTGGTAATGACAATAACGTTATGATTGAGTATTTCATGACAATAACGTTGCAATAGACTCTCTGTTGGCAACGTTCAAAGCAATCATAATAAAACTGATTATGTAAGGGAATAATAATCTATTTTGAAAGAAGCAATCCAAAATTGCTGGGTTTATTGCATTCATATTTCGTTTTATGAAAAAAAGAACTTGAACGTATAAAACTTGACTTTCTCATAAAAACGATGTAAAAATTATTTAAACAATCAAGTTTAAATCTAATTGCATTTAAAAATTAAATTTAAAAATACATTTTAATATGTACTTTTTATTTCTTTAAAACATTTTAGTCATAATAATGATGATTAATAGCTGGAAATATATACGATAACCAGCATTTCCTATCATATACTATTACCAGTGTGGTTATAGATCAAAACAATTAGGAAAAACAGGGAGATTAATCAATCAGGAAAAATCAAAGAATTTGTTCAAAATACCTTAAAGTCAGGATAAATAAATTAATTAGAGTTTGAATTTATTTTTTTCCAAGAATCAATAGTCTTGTAATATTTTTTTATGAAAATGGTTATTTCCAATTCTAATAACAGATGTAAGGGTTTTGTAATATTTTATTACTGGTACGAATAAAGTGTTACGGAAAAATAAGTGATAAAATATCTGAAGCCGGTTACAAACTCCTGGGAGGTTCGATAAAATCTGGGGAAATACTTTGCTACTAGCAAGAAATCTTCTAAGTATTTCTAGCTTACTGATAAAATATCGCAAGAAATACTTCGCTCAAACTTTTATTCAGCTATATAATATTGAAATATTAATAATCTAAAATAATGAAAAACTGCTTTTTACAACAACAATAAAAATTATACTAGACACATAAAAAATCCGAACCTCAAGCTATTTCAAGCAGCTACAAATTTAAATAACATATGCAACAACGTACAATGCTAAACCTAAAAATTTTTAATTACATTCCAGACAAGAATGCTGTTAGGCTATAGCCATTAAACAATTGATGCATCAAATTTTATTTTTAAGAATAAAGAAGGAGAAATTATTACAACTCTTGTTTTAATAAAGGAGCTGCATATTACACTAAATTTAACTACACATTGCAAAAAAAAAGAAATATTTTGTCGAGACTTAAGTAGAGTTGCTCATAATTGTTTCTAGAATTTGAAACATTTTAGCTGACATTTTAAAACAATTGTTTTTTAAATATTCATACTAAATTATTGAAAAATAATTCGAAGGGGAATTTTTTAGATTCATAAAAAAAAAAAAAATTGGTATTGAAAAAATATTAAAAAAAAGTTAAAATTATAAAAAAGTATGTAAAATACTTTTTTGAAAAAAACCTATAGTTAGAGATTATTTAAAATAAATTGATATTCATTAACTTTTTATTCTTTTTTTATTTAACTTTTTTCTGGAATTTGTCAGATGGTATGCTTTACAACACTCAATTCCATTTTAGTAACGATCGTCAATTCTTTTATTAAAAAATTTTCATTTTCTCAACAAAAAAAAAGAAAACTTTTACTCAAAATGACGAAAAAATCGTTGTCTCAAATGAAAAAAAAAATCATCCGCTCAAGATGAAGGGAAAAAAAAAGTCTGTGCAAATTTTCTGCCACACAATTTCCTAATTGCTTTATAGCTTTTCATATTCTTAATTTTAAATAAAAAATATTGAAATAATTTAAAAAGAATAAAGCAGTTCATAATAAGGGCAAATTGATAAGTTGAAAAAATATGTAATTCAATTAAACATATTTAAAAAAATATTGATAAAAAATTGTTTATGTAATAACCAGCTTAAATGAAATTAAATATAACAATTTTGTACTTATGTACAATATAAACTCTCGCAGAAAATATATTTATTAAAACAATCATCGCAATAAAACTCATCCTGACAAATACGGTAATGAGTTACTTTCTGCTTTAGAACTAAACTATTATGATGGTACTATCTGAAACGTACACACATGTCATTCAATTGAAGTTTAAAGAAAATACCCGCATGTGCTTATAAATGTAATTTAGAAATGAAAAAATGAAAAAAAACTATTTTCCAGATCCATGCATCGATAAAGTTCGATAAAGTTCTTCTGAAACGTACTTTATCCAGTTCTAAAATAATATTTTCGTCAAGTGATTGAAAGGGCATGTATCCGGTGAAAAATCCATTTACTGACATTGTGAGGCAATTTAACTCAGTTGTTCCTTGCACCGATTATTGGTACGAAAAAAAAGAGTAATTGAAAAAAAAAATGCAATTCAATTAAACGTATTATTTTAAATCAAAACATTAATAAAAAATATTGTTTATCTGATAACAAGCTTAAACAAATTTATATACAACAATTTTGTAATTATTTACAAAGTAAATTCTTGGAGAAAATACAATTGCCAAAACAAACATCGCAATAAAACTCCTCCTGACAAATACGGTATCGAGTTACTTTTTGTTTTAAAATCAAACCGTAACGATGGTAATATCTGAAATGTACACACATGTCATTCAATTGAAGTTAAAGGATAATAACCGGATTCGCTTATAAATGTAATTTAGAGAGGAAAAAATGAAAATAAAAAACTATTTTCCAGATCCATGTATTTATATCGATAAATTTCTTCTGAAACGTATTTTATCCAGTTCTAAAATATTATTTTCGTCAAGTGATTGAAAGCGCATGTATCCGGTAAAAAATCCATTTACTGACATTGTGAGGCATTTTAACTCAGCTGTTCCTTGCACCGATTATTGGTACGAAAAAAAAGAGTAATTGGAAAAAAAAATGCGATTCAATTAAACGTATTATTTTAAATCAAAACATTAATAAAAAATATTGTTTGTCTGATAACAAGCTTAAACAAATTTATATACAACAATTTTGTAATTATTTACAAAGTAAATTCTTGGAGAAAATACAATTACCAAAACAAACATCGCAATAAAACTCATCCTGACAAATACGGTAACGAGTTACTTTTTGCTTTAAAATCAAACCGTAACGATGGTAATATCTGAAATGTACCCCAATCTCATTCTATTGAAGTGTAAACAAAGTACCCGGATAAGCTTATAAATGCAATTTAGAATGGAAAGAATGTAAATAAACTATTTTCCAGTTCCATATATTTGTATTGAAAGAGTTATTCTGGAATGTTCTTTCTCCCGTTGTAAAATAATATCTTCGTCAAGTGATAAAAAGCGCATGTATCCTGGAAAAAATCTATTTACTGGCATCGTGAGGCAATTTAACTCAACTGTTCCTTGCATCTGTTGTTGGTATCAAGAACGAAACAGATTTATAATCCGAAACACGTTTTTCCGCCAGCAAATTCTCTAGCAAATGGGGCTTTTTTTTCTGTTGAAAGAAACGAATTTCGCATTACTCTGAATTCTATTTCCTATGGAATGATTCATTTTTTTCCTGTTTTCTGTAAATTTGTAAGAAAAAAGAAAAAAAAATTATCCCATTCGTCTGTGATCTGTAAAAGTGATATAAGGAAAATAAGATTTATTATTTCGATCACATAAACATTGGAAATAAAAAGGAAAGAATAATATCATTATATTAATTATGTACTTGTAAATAGTTTTATAAAACACGACCCTATTTGTCTATGCATATTTTAAGGTTATTTAAAGCTAAGAGTAATTGTGCAGCCAGAAATAAGTAAAAATGTTATATACAATTTGAATGTGATATGTGTAATTGTTATAAAAATAAGATTTATTATTTTTATCACATAAGCATTGGAAATAAAAACGAAAGTACAAGATATTATTATATCAATTAAGAGCCTTTAAATATTTTAATAAAACACGACCCTATCTGTCTATGCATATTTTAAGGTTATGTAAAGCTAAGAGTAATTGTGCAGCCAAAAATTAAGAAAAAGGCTATATACAATTTGAATGTGATATGTATAATTGATATAAAAATACGATTTATTATTTTGATCACACAAACATTGGAAATAAAAAGGAAAGATCGCGATATCATTATATCAATTATGTATTATACGAATATTTCTATAACATATGACCTTAGATTGACTATGTGTATGTGTCTATGTATAAAGCTAAGTGTATTTGTTTGCTAAGTGTATTTATGTTGTATATATTAGTGATATAAGAAAAATATAAAATTTATTATTTTTATGAAATAAATATAGGAAATAGAAAGCGAGTAACGCGGATATCATTATACCAACTATATACTTGCAAATATATTTCTGTAAAATATGACTTTGTTTTGTCACTGCATATTTTAAGTTAATATAAAGCTGAGTGTATTTGTTTGAGGCAGTCAGAAATAAATATTTTTTTCCATTGAAATGTCATATGTATAAGTTATATAAGAAAAATAAAATTTGCTTTTTATAATAAAATAAATGTTAAGAATAAAAAGAGAGAAATGCGGGTATCATTACATGAATTATGTGATTGCAAATATTTTTATAAAATATGACCTTTGTCTGCCTATGCATGTTCTAAGTTAAAGCTAAGTGTATTTACATCATCAGAAATAAATAAAAGGCTTGATTCCATTTGAATGTGATATGTTTAAGTGATATAAGTAAAGTAATATTTATTAATGAACATGCCCATATTTTGTCAACACATATTTTAAGAGAAGGTAAAAGAAGGTCAGATTGTTTGGTCAATGAAAATGTTCAGAAAGAAGATTGGGGTGAGCACAATACGCTGTGATTTCAGATAGTTAAGCAATAACAATGAAGTACCTGCAGCAATGAGCAAGTTGATTGCCATGAGCATTGAGGATCAAAAATAGCATTT